ACCCGCTGAACTCAGAGTAGAGAAGCAGCACAATCGCCAGTTCCACTGCCACTACTCGGGCAGTTCAACCGTTGTTTCGACAGCTGGGCGCTGCTCATGTAGGCGAAGGACGGTTTGCGGTGGTGTAAGCTAAGTAATCAGAAAGTGTGCCAATATTGTTTAAGTAGAAAGACTTGCTCAAAACTGAGGTACCAGTCACAGAGGTGCAGAATAGGCAAATTCTTTGTGTTACCACTAGCGAAGAGCCTTGGGCAGCAATAAAATGAAGGACTACTTTACTTCTGTCACTTTGAGTGCTACAGCTAAAAGTACTGACGTGCATAGACTATTTCCATTAAAGCATCCAAAAGGCAGTTCTAGATCATCTCCCCTCACAATGCACCAAAAAACTTTTAAGATATTGGATGTTTTAGCAAGAAAGTATTATCAGAATGGGGACTTGCCAATTTTTACAACAAACATCAAACACGAATCCAACGAGAGTCAAAGTAACAAGACAAATGCCCACTATGACTGTAATCAACAGGGCCAATTCCTAAAAAAAAAAATGGACGTTATATTAATGAAAAGCGGGAATGCTACTAAAGCATCAATAAGGGGTGAGAATTTTTTGTGTAGGTCAACGGGTGGTGCTTCTTTCTTACAATTAATCTGATGCAGCAGTACTGAAGGCGCGATTACAAAAACGATTTCCTGTTTTAAATGGTAGTCACGCAAATCAACAGAAGTTTTTGCGGCACACACCATGAAAACAGTCGACTTCTGACTAGGCATATTTTGTCATTCCATCAATTACTGCTTAGCGGAAGTCCATATTGTCCAAGGTAGCTTGAGACGGTCTTAACAACAGATGGCACCAATATTCGTTTAATTCAAGTGGAAGGAATGTCTCCTTAACCCCTTTCAAGAGAGCTAGTTTTGAATAAAAAACCAGCACTTTAAATACTGACTCTCGGTAGGAGAGGCGACAGCATGAGAATTCTTAACTTATGTAATTGGTGCCACTTATCATTCATCGAGGGAAGATTGTATAGTTAGGAGTGGGTTAAAAATGTCAACCAGCATAGATGGCAAAACTTTACCACTTCAAGATGAATAGAGTTGGTGACAGATAAAGTGTGCCAGTAATAGCAAAATATTTGCCTAACTCACGTAGACAACTGCAGTCCTTTTCTCGCAATGCTTGCCCCACCAGCCAGGAGGACAGACACAGATGTAGGCGCCGACATTACCCGCTAAGTCTCTGCACTTGCCTCCGTTCTGACAAAGTGTCCGGTTAGTCTCCAAAGCAACCAAACAGGAGGGCCGGCGTTGATTACATCGCTGACCCTCCCAGTGGACATCACACTTGCATTTGAAAGAGAGGTTGTAGCGACCGGGTCCTGGAGTACAGGACCCATGACCTGAGCAAGTTTTAAGCTCCGCAGCGCAGGGGTCGTAGCCAAAATGACATTCCGGTCCTGCACAGGAAATTAATGGCATTATCCAAATATGCAGGATGCCAGTCAGGCGATTCACCTCCCTAGAAGACCATTATATGGACGGGGACACCGAAACTGTGAATGAGAGTCCTTACTTACCTTTAAGCACTCAATCCATGTTTAGCGCAACGTGACGCATTCTCTTTAGGGCAAATTACAGGTAAGGCCTAACTTTAGATTTGCCAACGAAAAGAATGCAAATCTATTGTTCGAATATGTACCCCGGTGTAACAAATTTGTTTCACCTTCGTTCCTTCATTCATGACTTTTTGTAAAAATAACCAGTAATTCGCCTCCATCGGCCTTAATGGAAGACTGTGACAAGCGTGATTGAAAAGCACATTTTCAAAGGCGGCACCTCAAAAAATAAGAATTCGGCGCTACTTACTGCCAAGGTCACGTGTTTTCCATCTGAGCTTATCTAACTAAAAGGGCATGGGGTAGACGAAAATTGTTTATACACTACTAAGTACCTTTTCCCATAGTGCTTGAAAATATAGCTTTTTAGAGCTGGTACAGGAAAAGGCATAGTTGTACCAAAAACAAGTGAATTTGAGATTTTTAGGCAGACGTAAGAGCAAATCACTGGAATAAATTGTTCATGCTCCATGCAGAGGCATTTTTAAGAGGCATCTAGTTGTTTACTTGTCCTTCATTTTTTACTACATTTGCAAGTGGTATTGAGATAGTTGATGTAGCCTGCACGGAGATAAAATTCTCTTGAGCTCACTTTTATGCAATTAGACCGATTTACCAAAAAGGTGGACGAAAGTAGGGAAAGGACTTGATGGGTGTTTGTCTCGAGTTTTGTGCTGGTTGACAAAAAGGTAAGCTTTAGAACGCGAGCCTTAATTTAGCTGGCTAATTTGAATCTTTAAAATGGGTAAATAATTGGTGATAAAGAAGAGGCACTAGGCAGTAAATTTTTGGAAGTAAGCAGGTTATATTAAATGGCCTAAGATTAGGAATAATAAGCATCTTTACACCCTAGCTTGTTGCACTTATCTAGTCTACC